AAAACTAAGGGGGCTGGGGAGGTGGCTCAAGCGGTAGCATGCTCGCCTGGCATGCATGCGGCCCGGGTTCAATCCTCAGCACCACATACAAAGATGTTGTGTCCGCCGAAAACTAAAAAATAAATATTAAAAAAATTCTCTCTCTCTCTCTCTCTCTCTCTCTCTCTCTCTAAAAAAAAAAAAAATTTAAAACTAAGCTCATAATGTACTCTACAAAACTTGTTCTCCTTTTGATGATCTCTGTCTTAGTGCAGGTAACCATGCCACAGTCTCCTGTATCAGAATTCTAGGAAATATCCTTGCCACCTCCTTCTTACTCTCATGTCAAGTTCATCATGAAGCCCCTTTCAGTCTACTTTCTTAACATCTTCCCTCGGTTCTCCATTTTTTCTCACCAACTGAGTCCAAACAACCATCATAATTCACTAAATTTGCCTGAATTACTACGTCAGCCAAAGAAGACATCCATCCTCATCTAGTGAAACCTGGAATTCATTATCTAATCTACAAAGCGATTTTTAAAAAGCATAAAAATCTAATCTAATCATCTCTTTGAAAGGAAAATCCCTTAGCACAACCAACAATGGACTGACTTGGATTCTTTATTCTGGTCATCTGTTCCTACAGAATGAATTACCCAAAATCTTAATGGCTTAAAAAAAAAATTAATATTAGCACTCATTGTTCTATGGGTTGTTCAGTCTCAGTTGGATAATTATTACCGATAGCCTCTTATGCAGTTGCAGTAAGAATCTGGCTAGTGCTGGAGTCATTTGAAGGTTCAACTGAGCTAGCATGCAAGATGGCACCTTCACCGACACATCCTGAAAGTTGGTTTGGCATCTTTCTCTCCATGTGGCCTCTCCACATGGCTGGTTTTAGATTCTTCAAAGCATGAGAGGTTCAGGATATTTCATTTCTCACATGACAAGTTACTTTTTTCCAGAGTGCACTTCTCAAGAGAGACCAAGGCACAAGCTGTAAGACCTCTTTTGACTGAACCTCCTATGTCATTCCACATACCTTCTACTTTATTCTACAGCTCACAATCAAGTCATGGCTTTAATCCACATTCAAGGGGAGAAACCGCAAAAGGGTATGAATATCTGAAAGCATAGTTCTTTGGAGGAGAACGAGAGTCTCTGTAGAATATCAACAGTACCTTTCTCTCAAATCCCGTTCCACAGCACATTCCCTATGTGTCTTGCACCTGAGCCAATGGGACTTCCTTCAGCCCTGTACCTGCCACACTTCATCCTGCCAAGGTTTTGCCCATTCTGCTTTCTTTGCTAGAATGTTCATCCAAAGTCCCTTTTTCCAAGTTAATTCTTGCTTAAGTGTCAGATCTCAATCAAACCTCAGGAAAGCCTTCCCTGACTCCCTAACTAGGTTAGATTATAAAATATACCTTCAAGGTATTGAACAAATTTCCAGCATGGTCCTCATTTTGCATTGATTTGGGAATTATGGAATTTATTTCTGAATACACCTCACTGCACTTTCGCCACTAACACAGAGATTGGCTAGTGCTCAACTATTTATTTGTGGAATGAATAAAAAAAAGAGACTAAGCCAACCAAACTATCTTCCTCTGTGTTACAAATTACTTTTTTCCTTATGAATTATAGTGAAGTATATAATCACATTTCCATATTCGGTACTGTGCAAAGATTAGATTAGACAACCCCAAATATAAAACATTTTTTACAAAGGAAATCTTATAAATGCAAAGGTCGTTTATTTTTTGCCAGATCTTGCCTATAATATGTAGATGTATAAAGGAATCAACTAATATACCCAAATGTTGCACAAATTTGTAGTGTTTTTTCTAATCTTCTTTCAAATGAGCATAAATCTGTCCTTGATTTTAATTTATAAACCTGAGCAAACGCAGGTAGATGTACTGATTTAGTCAGCTTCTTCACTGCTGTGACTAGAGGACATGACCAGCACAATTATAGAGGAGGAAAGTTTTATTTTAGGGCTCATGGTTTCAGAGGTCTTAGTCCATGAAAGGCTGGCTCCATTCCTCAGGGCTTCAGGTGAGGCTGAACATCATGGCCGAGTGTGTAGTGGAGGGAAGCAGCTTACACCATGGTGATGAAGAAGCAGAGAGTCTCCACTCTCAAGATACAAAATGTAAACCCCAAAGCCTCGTCCCCAAAAAATCACTTCCTCCAGCCACACCCACCTACCTTCAGTTAGTTACCACTCAATTAATCTCATCAGGGATTAATTCACTGTTTAGGTTAAGACTCTCTCAACCCATTCATTTCTCCTCTGAACCGTCTTGTATTGCCTCACACATGAGCTTTTGGGGGACACCACAGCTAAACCATAACACGTACAAAAGAGAACACTATAATCAGGAGAAGGGTGATTCCCTACTGCATGGAGAAATCCAGTGTTGATGGTGGAGACTACTAGAAGCATTCCACTTAGAAACCCACCAAACACCACACATGTTGATTCTTCTTGGATTAAAACCTGATGCACAAAGCTAACTGTCCTCACTACAGTATTAATAATTTGTCTAGAAAAAAAGCACTAAGCAATTTTCAACTAAAAATGGAGTACTTCATCTTGAGGGTGGGAACTAATATTCATGTATCTTAGAGGATGACCCAAAGAGCAATGAGTTGGATTGGAGAAAATGTTGACTACTTGTGGCTCTCAACTTATTTTTTTAATACAAGTTTTAGTAATTATAAATGTTATTATAAATTAAAATTTGTTATCAAAAGGTACATTCTATTTCTGGTTTTTTAAATTTCAACTCTGAACTCTAATTGTTTTCAACTATTAACTTCTGGTCTAGGGACAGAATTAGAATTTTTTGTAGAATTGGAATTAATTCAGTCATGCATTTCTTATCTTTTCTCCCCCACTACAATATAAACTCCATGAGATACATGGTTGGTCAGTCTTATTCACCTAGAGCATTGTGCTGCCCAATAAATTATTGAATGAATGGATGGCAGCGGTCTTCAATAATTAGATTTTGTGTATTACTCAGAACATTTATGAAGAACTTATTTGTTATTCATTGAGAAAAGATATTATGTCAAAAACGGAGACAAAATGGCTTTACTTCTCATTTATGCTTCTGGTTTTATAGCTTTATGTCATATGAAGATAGTGAATCTAATTATCTAACCTCATTCACCAAGTAAGGAAAAAATTTATTCTATAGAATACGCTTTTTTCTAAACCATTGTATTTCTCTGGTTGTTAGAACAAAATTACTTTTTCTCAGTAGCTGAAAATGGAACTTTTATTTTCTGTGTACTTTGAGGAGTTTGATCGTGTTAAAAAAAATCTATGGAAAATAATATTAAAGTCAACATGCAGGTCCATGAAAGTTACTGTTTTGTTTTAAATAATGTCACCACTAGTTGATTTTAAGTACAAAAACATGGATCTGAGAAAATACATAAAAATAGGTTCCAGATCAATTACTTAAATCCAAACTTATTGTCAAATATTTTGTCTTAAAAGATTGACTTAAGTCAAAACAGTCATAAAGAAATTAACAAATAAGGACAGAGGTGGGGGGCTGGGGTTTAGCTCAGTGATACAGCACTTGCCTAGCTTACAAGAAGCCCTGGATTCAATCCTAAGCACCACAAAAAGAAATTAATGAATAACAATTTATTTAACAGGAAAATATTAAAATCAAATTGACCTACTCATGAAATCCCCCTACCTGGTGTCCTCTGCTACAAGTTTAATTAATGCTGACCAACAGACATGACTTGGGAGTTTTTCACAGAGAAGTTTCTGTTCCATTTCGCACCTTACCTCTCAAGCCATCAATCACACTGCATTATTCATAGCTAAACATCTTTTCCTTTGTCTTGCTTCTTGTTAAGTGTGGATTAAGAGCCAGAGAGTTGATTTTCAAGTTTTAATGTGTGAGATGGAAATTTTAAGTTCAACCTGCTCTATATCTGCTCCAATTTCAGACTTGAACATAGAAAAGTTGTGTTACAAGAAACATGACCTGCCTGTATTTTCAAAAGCATTACCTTTGCCTCCTTGGGTTTTTAAACTTTGCTCACATTCAGCAAAAATAGAGGATGCTCTTAAGTTACATTTGCAAATGCCATATTTGATGATCTTCTCAAGCCCTGCCTTCCATTCTCTATAACTCTGGGCTCCACCTTATTTCTCCTATAGTAATCATCCAAAAGGATTAGAACAAAGACAGATCTTTACATAAATTGAATATTTAGAAAACAGATCCTCCTTTCTTCAGACCTCATTTGATGAAATCATTTTTTATTTTATAGTGAGAAGAAAATGGAAATATAGGCAATATTAACTTGGGTTACTTTTTAAAAGTTAATTTCAGCCTCACCCAAATATGCATTAAAAATATCCCATCTTCCCTTCTATCAGAAGTAAGCTTCTTTCTTCTTATTCACAATTAAAGCTAACACATACTCCCTACAAGCAGGAGTAATACTGAAGGGCAGGAATTTCGGACATATTAGGAATATTGATTAATTATATGCATTTTGGTAGGGCAATTTCCTGAGTGAACAAAGTGCTAGTGGGGTGAATATAAGAGATGCATATTTTTCAACCTGAAGTCCCTTCAAGGACAGATGCCAAGGTGAGCAGTACTCCCCGGTTTCTCAGCAACCTGAAAGGATTTGTGAATGATTGTGAAAGATTTGCACCACCTCGCCGCTCGCTGCACTTAGGGGCTGTTCTGAAAACAGCAACGCACAGCTTGGGAAATGCATGTCACATCCTGTACCCCTGGGTAAGAAGTGGTGAAATGCACACACACTTCACCACCACCAGCAGCAGCAGCAGCAGAAAAACCCTGCGGCGAAGCTATCTGATGGGCAGACACTGCTTGGGAGGCATGGTCAGCATCCTCCTCCCCAGCCCCAGTGACAGGCTCGCCTCCACCTCTAAGCTAGAGTTCCCAGGTCTTTCTATATTCTAGGCTTTTCCTTGCCAAGCAGAAAGGTCTACGCTGGCCTTACCTCTGGGGCTGCTTTCTTGCAAGTACGGCGGGGCGGTGGGAGTGACATTTCCCGAATGGGATGCTGACAGCAGAGGCGAGCGTTCGTCCACCCCATCCGCAGCCATGACTGCAGCAGCTGCGGGGCTGGAGGCAGGCTGAGCCCGGGTTGCGGCTTCGATGGAGGTGGCGGCTAGCTCTGCAGCCGCTGCTGCCGCCTCCGGGAGGGCCCGGGATGTGTCACAAGGCAGGAGGCGGGGGGAGGGGAGGGTGCGGGACGGAGAGGCGGGGGAAGGGAAGCACGCCGGGAGGCTTGCTGGGGGAGGGGAGGGGAGGCTGAAAGAAAGAGTCCGGAGAGGAGGAGGAGGAGGGGAAGAAGTGGAGGGTCTGAAGCTCAGCCAGCCTGGGAAGAAGGAACAAATTAGAACTGATTGGGAAAAGCGGGGAAGGGAAGGGGCCAAGAAACCAGGGGGAGGGTACAGGGGATTTGGGGATGACAAGTCTTTTTCTCCAGGGAAAAGGTGGATAAAGAGCAGCCTGAAAGGGGCTAAGAGAAAAGGCCTATGACTTGATTACAGGAAAACTAGAGCAAACACAGATATCAAGTTTAGCTTCTCTAGGGAGGAGGAGGAACTGACTCTGCTGTCCAACTTTGCAGCAATTATATAAAGCTTATTGTTAAGGTTATCAATTCCTTCTTAAGGGGTTCTTCCTTTGTTAGGAGATGATTGTTTCACATGGGTTGTCTAAGAGAAAGCCAATTTTGGCGAGTGTTGGCATTTCCTACTTCCTTTGGCGATTGTTTCTAACAAGGAGTGTTGGAATTACCCATTTGGCACTCTAACTGTACCTTACTGAAGCTATGCATATGTATTGCTTTTTCACAAATTTCATCTTGCAAAATAGGTTGCCATTTTAGTTTTGGTTTTGTACTGTATTGTTCCTGACATGTGTACAATAACCAGATTTGTGCAAGTAAAAGCAGTTTTTTAAAGAGAGTGAGATTTTTTAAAAATGTGTTTTTAGTTGTCAATGAACCTTTTATTTATTTATATGCAGTGTCGAGAATCAAACCCAGTGCCTCACACATGCTAGGCAAGCGCTCCACTACTGAGTTACAACTTCAGCCACTAAAGATAGTGTTTTGAAATAATCTTTTGCTCATAAAAAAAGTTTTTTTTTTTAAAAAAAAAGCTAGTCATACTTCTTGCCTTGTTTGCTATTTTTTTTCCTTTCGTTATCCCTCCCCTAACCCTCCAGCCTTTTGGTGGTTTATCATATTATTCTAAAATGGTTTACATAAATACAAAAACAAGACAAAACTTTGGACATGCCAAATAAAAATGTAATAGAAAAATAGTCCTGCAATGATGCTTTTAAGTCACTCAAGAAATATTTATTACTTGCTTACTGGGTCTACACCGATATCTGGGCCATGATCTCATACCTGAACAGTTACCACACTTGAAAATCAAAAATGAGGCTGGTGGTCCCAGCTATAGATCTCAGTTGGCATGAGGAAAAACAGACTTGAGACATTTGAAACTACTTCTCCTATTACATTAAAAAGGGTCCTCATTTTACTCTCTGAAGACATACTCTTTATTCCAGAAAATGCATTTAGACACCAGCTGGAAATCCTATGGGAAAATTAAAGAATGGTGTTTTCTCTTATGCAGCATATTTTGTGGGTAAATAGCATGAAGATACAAGGATCCCCATGTGATGCAGCTCAAGGGCATGTATAGGTCTCTGAAACCTGGAGAGTGAAGAAGCAGATGTAGCACTCTCTGCAGTCATGCCTATAATTTACAACACAAACAGCAACATTTCTGCAGTTATAGACTAGAGGCTATTGAGTTAAATTATAAGAAGCATCAACAGAATCCTTGATTCTAGTGTTTGGTTTGGATAAGTGTCCCCAAAGATCTGTATGTAAAAGTTTGGTCCCTAGAGTAGCATTGGGAGTTGGGCCTTTATGAGAAATCTTTAGGTCACTGGGGACATAACCTTGAAAGGGAATGTGGAATTCTAGTCTCTCACTCTCTCTCTATGCTTCTTGGATCCTGATGCGACCATTTGCTCCAACATGTGCTCCTGCCATTGCCACCTGTGGCCTTCATCAAAAGCTAAACTTCTCTTTGTAAGTTAATTGCCTCAGATACTTGGCTATCATGATGTGAAGGTGACTAATACAGTCTAGTAGTCTATCATGTCACTCATTATACTCCACTGTAATAGATTATTTCTCTTTGTATTACCACTCTAATCTTCACCTCCAAAAAACTATGAGGTCAAAAACTACAGTATGTAGCATAATACTAGAGCACATTATTGCCAAATAAACAAACAAATGAGTGACTGAACAAATCCCACACAGCCCCAGAATCTTATTAAAATTCCTCGGCATGAAAACTTTTAAGATCGTTTCAAGGAGAGTTTGTTTTTTTTAAGAGAAGGAATCTCGTGTTGTTCTGGCTGGCACCCTGAGCTCTTGGGCTCAAGGGATCATCCTGCCTCAGCTTCAGGTGCACACCACCGTGCCCACTTCATTTCATGCCTTTTTGATGAAGAAGACAGTGTTGCCATTTGACTCACAATATTTTTATTGTTTTATGTTTTGTTGTTCTACAACTAAGTTTCTTTTTCCCAGGTAATGATCTGTATAATTTTTCCCCCTTCTTTCTCTAGCTTCTCTATCCATAATAGAACTCATTTCAGGCTAACAGCAGTTATTCTGACACTATAAAATGTAGTGGGTATGCTAAGGTCATATTTTCAGTAATGGCAGGTTTCACAAAAAAGTAAAAAAAAAAAAATTAAATTCATTCTAATTTAAATACTATGATTCTAGTTTAAAACATAATATTGTGGTTTATGGTTACTCAATATATAATAGATATGAGAAAGCAACTAATGGTGGAAAATGTGATACAAGTGATGTTGATTGAGAACTAGGACCTAGACACTAAGGGGTTCCTTGTCTTCCACCATCATCCACATTTGGGTCACATTTGAGGCATTTCAGTTCTTAGATGTCCTTTTGTCTATTTAAGGAAGTCTCCAAGTCATTGCCCTGAATTTCTCATGTAATGCCAGATTCGTGGGACCCCAATAGACCTCTAGGAGTTGAATCCGATGCAATCACACAAGAGTCTTTATTGCAAGCTGGAGCCTGGACTCACAACTGTTCCTGATGCAGCAGTCCCAGGGAGTGAGTCCCCGTCCTTTGTTCAGTGAAATTTTATAGGTTTTGGGGAATACTCTATGCATCACAACATCACACAGCAAATCATTCCATACCGCAGGAAAATCAAACAACAACTCTTAACATTGATTAGCACATTCACTGGCGGGAACAAGTTAGTACAAGAGGATTCATTTGAACTGAGTGGTTTAAGCCATGAGGGGTGTACGTGCTAAACTACATGGTTTCCCAACATGTTATCAACCACCATAAACTACTGGGGGGTCATCTGGCATCCCAGGTATTTTCCCTGTCTCTTGTTGATTGGTAGTTCCTAGGGGGTTGCTGTGGGTCCTCAACTAGCCTGAGTCAGAGACACCTGGCCTGCAGATCTCTCCTGTTATTTACAGACAAACAACTCAGTTGGGTGGCTATCTGCCTAGAAAGGCTCTGTGGGTTTTTCCTAGGACAAGGGTGGTCACGCCCCTTTCCTTAGGACAGGTCTTGAGGTAAAAGCTGCTGTTATTTATTTATTTTTAAAAATGGAGTCACATCAGTTTCTCACTCAGAGTCTTCAGGAGGGGGTTACATCCATCCTTAGGATGGATTTCAGGCTGGCACCCTGAGCTCTTGGGCTCAAGGGATCATCCTACCTCAGCTTCAGGTGCACACCACCATGCCCAGTTCATTTCATGCCTTTTTGATGAAGAAGACAGCTAGGGGGTTGCTATGGGTCCTCACCTAGCCTAACTGAGTCAGGACACCTGGCACCTCAGATCTCTCCTGTTATTTACAATTTAAATAAATTTTATTTATTTAAAATTTGAATTTTATCCTAAGCCTTTTCTTACATTGAGAATCTGTTACTACATGAAAGACCTCTGGGATCCTCTATGTTTTCTCTAAATTCAGCTTTCTAAAATCGAAAGCTCCTTTAGTTCACCTCTGTGGCAGGCAAAATAATGCCTCCCCAAAGATGTCTACAATCTAATCCCAGAACTTGTGTGAAATTTTGCTTTGCATAGCAAAGGGATTTTGCAGATATGATTATAGTGTTCAGACCTGCAGATGAAGAATTTATCCTGGATGATCTACATAGACCAAACCTAATCAGGTACATTTTTAAAAGCTGAGAACCCGTCCCCAGCTGTGGTCATACAGATTCACAGAAGGAGAGATTTGAAGTGTAAGAGCGCGGGGGGCGGGGGATCTAAACTTGCTATTTCAGGCGTGGAAGATGGGGGAAGTAGACCAATGAATATTAGGTGACCTCTACAAGCTGGAAATGACCTTAAGCTGATAGCAGCAAGAACATGTGAGTTTCCGCCCACAACAAAAAAGAATTCTATTCTGCAAACAATCTGAATGAGCAAGAAAGCAGACCTTCCCCTAGAGCCCTGCTAACACGTTGATCTTACCCAGTAAAAGCCATATTTGACTTCTAATGTACAGTACTATAATAAATTTGCATTGTTTAAGCTGCTAAAATGTAGTGATTTTTAATGGCATCAATAGAAGATGCAACCCTTCTCTTACAATACCTTATTAAACACAGCTAGAAGAAGCAACTTATCACTTTTTATAAAATTCTCCATGGAAATTAATTTATTAAAATCAACAAGTTCATCATTACATTTTCTAACACAGGCAACAGTTAACTGAACTGCCTGTTTTTCTCCTGGCTCTTCTTATGTCACTATCTCCTCTCCTTGCCTTCCAGCACTGGCCTGATAGCTGTCCATAAAGACAATGCCATATATTTTAGGTTTTTTAAAGCAATACCAATTTCTGTTACATTTATCTATTAGTTTGTCCTTTTAGTACTAATTTCTGTTGAAGTTATCTGTTGCTTGTTACGTTTAGTACCATATTCTGTTTATACATTGCTTTGTAAGAATCCATTACCCTAATTCTTAGTGGATTAAAATAACAATGACTTTCTATTCACAATTATGAGGGCTGACCAGGTTGTTTTTTGCCAAGTCTCCCCTGCACAGATTTACTTACGCAGACTGTTCAGTCTGTAGATCAGCTGGGCTCTGGGCT